GGGAGCGGGGCAGTGCAGGGATGGGAGTGTATGCCTGCAGGTGTGGAGACAGAAGGGCTTTGTTAGCAGGCTCTGCTGCCAAAGGAAAAGTAATGTTACGCTGAAGCCATTTTCCAGGATATAGATCCTGAAAAACGAGCCGAGTGGAGCTGGCAGAGAGCTCACGCAGAAAATGTAATGATGGGGGAGTGAGAAGGGAGAAGGTGCTATTTGTAGTTTGGTGTAAAAGACTCCAAAGAACAGAACGGACAGTGCTATGGTTTCTCCCTTTTTCTCACAGCGTGAAATGGATGAACTAAACAGATTCAGTTGCTCTCCAGCATCAGAGTGGACTTTGAGGCCAACCTACACCTACTTCTTAAGAAAACCAATGTTAATGTACCTCTGGGAAGCTGCCAATAGCAGTGATGTGTTTCTAAATGGAATTTTTTCATATCTTGCTTTTTGAACTATTGTATCAGTCCTTTGGATCTATATGCAGAATTGTTTCAGATTCTGTCTAACACCAGGCTTTTAGCTTCAAACTGTTTTTCTGTGGTGCTTCTCAAATCTGAAAGGTCTCCCTCCAGCATGCCAACACTTACCATGACACCACAATGACTGGTATCAAATATGTGTTAGATTAAATCAGATTAGAGCACACAAACATCCTGCATGCCAACCAATGTATTTGAACAAGGATATATTATTACATAATTAGTTCATGAAAATTGTATTTAAATGTAGTGTATATGTCTATGTATATATGTCATCATTATTGAAAATTGTATTTCATGTAGGTTAAGTCAGATGATATAAAGAGAAGATAAGATAATCTCAACATGTTTTTTCCCCCCCTCCCTCAGTCATGAACGGTGCTCCTGGTTCCTTCTAGATCCCTTCTGTGGCAATAAAATGGACCTTGCTTCCAACGTTTGATCACTACCTGAAAGCTCACATGTACAAGTCCATCAAAAAGTGAAGAAATGCATGGAGTGAATCCTACAAGGTCATTTACTAACAGTGAAGGGCAATTAATGGATTGCAAGTCATGACTGGCATTCCTGGGAGCTACAAAATCAGATGGGTGGGAATCAAAGTGGTAAGAGATCTCTCCTGCTCCAGAACACATGAAAGACTGAATTTCATCACTGCTGCCCTCCCTACTTAACAGTGACAGTCCCAGTTCCCACCTCTCTTCACTGGTTTACAATACTCTGACAAATGGATGCTCTCATTTGCTAACTGTAATTCCAAATGATGAATGAAAAGATTGATTAGGAAAACGTTTGTCAGGTAGTCAGTCATTTTTACTATGCATCCTTCAATGTTCATGGACCTTTCCAGGCTATTATACACTTCAAAGTATCGAAGAAGCTTATGATTATCTCCTCAGGAGCTGGCTAAAGCATGAGATTCTTCTTTACTACCTAGTTCATTCAAATGGAGTTAATTCATTTCTACTACATTTATTACATTGTGTGTCCCAAAAGCAAGAATACAGTTTTACTTTTCTAATGCATGCCTGCAAATGGAAATTATCACTGCTGTGGAATTGTCTACAGGCCTGTCTAGATCAGTGATTTGTAAGTCTAGACTCAACTGCATCAATGCAAAGTGCACTGTGCCCACAGAATCTAACTCCCAGTGTTTCTATAAAAAAATGGAGAGTTGAATCAAGCGTAATTAAACTGATGGGCAAACTATGTCATAATTGTATCTGCTTGCACACTTGTCTCTGCACTTCCAAGTCTGCAAAACAACTTCTCAAGCCACTTACCTTATCCAGCCATTCAGCCAACCTGTGCGGTCTGTGCCACAATGGCATCTTAGATTAAATGCTAGAGATAGACCCTCTGTGAGTTCACAAATTATGCACTGAATATCTTGCTAGCACACCTGTATTCTGCATTTGAGAACTTTGGGCCGCTCTTGCCCTGCACCCATCCTCAGTCTTTGATGCTCTCACTCTCTCAGAAGAAGTGGAAGTGCAGGATATCCTTCTATACATTTCTGGTACACATTTCTGAAAAAATTCCTATAATGACAGTCACAAGCTGAATGTTGTGAAATGCTGAATAAACACTCTTTGAAGAATTTCAAAGAGGCTTAAACTGTATTAAAGAGAAAAGCACATCTCAGCAGTCAAGCTACCTGTCCACATCAAGAAAGGTGGAGAAGATCTAAGCAGCAAAGCTGTGCTGGAGACAGGTCAGTCCAATTCAGTCAAGGCAGCTATTGAAATTGCAGCCAGTTTTCAAACTACTTGTCACAACCTGCTTCCAACATGCCTTGCTCCCCACTCTCCTGTGAACTGCATTGCCTATCCTCAGTTCAGCAAGACATCCCTCCTCCTCTACCTGTGCAGGTAAAGAGCTAGAATTTCCTGCCTACGTTCCCATGTAGGTAGGAGGGGCAATTTCTGATGGCATCTTACTACCTGTCCCATCTTTCCCCTAAATGTCACTTGACTGGCATGCCATGCTTGGTATGAGATGCCAGTACAGGCCTACACCTTACTCCAGAGAGAGTCTGTGGATTTGAAGTTGCAAAGACTGGTGATACCCAAAAGTTTTGCATGTGTTCTCCAAAGAACAAAGAGTATTTCACTGCACGAGAGCCTGACAAAAACCCTGACAAAACCCACTATCAGCCAGCTTTCTATGAGTGAGAACAGCGAGACAGCACTGTAAAGAAGAATGCCAGGCACTGTTACGTTTACTTTTCTTCAGGAGCCGTGCTTTTTCTTGGTGCTTGATGTTGCCAACTCAGGCAATGCGTATCCAGCCCCCACAATCTCTCTGCCAATACAAAAGACTGACTGCAGTCTCTCCATTCCTCCTTTCTACCCAGTGCCCTTTGCCATCGTCCCCATGAGCCCCTTTTGTTCCCTGCATGTATAAAGGTGCAACCCCATCACAGGCCCTCACGTAACAGCACTTGTCTCCTCTCCAAGCATGAAGTCCTAGCCCTTTCTTGCATTCTTTTCATCATTCTCAGTTATCAAAGCTAAATGCAAAAAAGAAACCAAAGAGTGTTTACTGAACACCAGTTCCTATGAATCTGTAACAAAATACGTACTGTGTTGTGAAAGTAGAGAAAATTAATAGAGAAAACCAGAGCAGGCTGCTATGTTTGTTAAGTTCAACATTTAAATTGCGTAACAGCATTGTTGTACTAAAAAATCTTTGTAAGAGTTTTTAAATATCATCTTTAATCCTTTTTCTATCAAACTCCTCTTATAAAGCATTTTTTTCTCATCAACTCTTAATGGCATTTTTGATAGTATAATCTATATACGCTGTTAAAAACACCATGTCACAGATTTGTAATATATAAAGCTCAAACAGCATATTAAAAAGCAGAAACTACAAGACACAATCACACTCTAAATGCTATAAATTCAGTGCAAAACCATATTAATAGTGCAAACAACTTTGAGTGTATCTTCTGGGTATATGAATTAATTTTTAGTGACAGAAAATGGCCTGATAACACTTGCAAGATTGGAGCATATAAGGACTTGAAAAGAAAGCTGAAAAAAGACTTAGTATCTCCATGGTATCCAGGAACTGGTTCTGGATATAACTTCCCAAAATTGTATGAGGAAAAAAACCTAACTTTGCTACCATGGAAACAGAACAGTGGAATATAACTGATTGTTACTTGTCTGCCTTTACAAGACTGATTCCTAAAATGTTAAGGCCCTCAATAACATGGGTAGTTTTGTTTCCACCCAAGAAGTAAATCTGCTAGAAAAGGAACAAGGAGAAGCTATTGAGTGAGCTCACCAAGCAGGGGAGAACAGCTCAGGAACGACAGGTATTTCTAAGAAAAGTAGAGGATTAGAGAGGAGAAAGAGAATAAAAGAAAGATCAAGAAGGAAGATACCATGATGCCAGAAAATACAGGGGAGGAGAGGTTTGCTTTGACTAGCAAGACAGCAAACAAGGCCTTCACAATGAAGGGCTGGATCCTGGCCGTGCTAAAGATAACCTTATGAAAAAACAGGGTAGCAAATACTGGGTGGGTGTTACCTTGCCCTTGTTCCCAAAGCGCACATGCAGTCTTGACAAAAGCGCAGCTTGTGGAAATCATGCACATCTTCTCATAATTTCTTAAGTTACTGCTCCTTTGTTCTTCACTGGCAAATCCCACCCTCTTTGGACGCGTCCGAAACGTTCTAACAATTACCAACGCTTGCACTTTCCTCACAGTTTGTTGGGTTGTGCAACAAGAGCCGTGCTCTTTTACTTCACTGGAAGTGTTCCTTCTTCCTGCTAGACAAATATCCTGATTGTAAAATGCATGCTGTTCTCCTCGTTAAACATTTGCTCTCCCTGCCTGCTGTGCCTGGTGCACAGATAACATGGTCACTGGGAGCCAGGTTGTTTCTCCTTTAAAATCCATCAGTGCACCCAGAGATCTCCTCACAGTCCAACACTGTCCACCTTATACCCTTTGCTAGTAGCGGGTTAGCAAGGCAAACCGGCCCACGAGATCCTCCATGCTGTCATTTTGGAAGAGATGTCTCGTAGGCAGCTGCTCTTTGTGGACTTGCCTCAGCTCTTGCCCCCAGCACCCCTGCCTGACACCACCCTTCAGCCTCCTGAAGGCACGGAGTACTGCCATCAAACCACTACTCAGAGTGCAAATGAGTAGGGTTTCTTTTTCCCTCACGATCTAAACTTCTACCGAGAGATATCATTCGCTGTGGTACGGGGGATCTCTGAGGACGGGAGTGCTGACCACTCCAGGCTAAGCTACCATGGAGGCTGACGAACCGCGTCGCTCTCCTGAGGGAGGGGAAGGAAAGCCCTCCACAGCGCGCCCGGCTTCGCAGCCGCCCTTCAGCGCCGCACGCGCGGGCCATACGCCGAGCACCAGCGCGGCCAGGCGGCAGTTCATCTTAAGGGGTTGCGTTTCGCCATCTTAGGCTCCTCCGCCCCCTCCTGCCACGTGACGCAAACGGCCGCCATCTTAGGCTCCCCGCGCCGCCGTCTGGGCTTGCCTGGGTCACGTGGGGCGGGGCTGGTGGCGGAGCGGAGCTGAGGGGCGCGGCGCGGCTGGAGGCTGAGGGGCGGCGGCAGGCGTGATGGGGCAGTGCGGCATCACCTCCTCCAAAACCGTCCTGGTCTTCCTTAACCTTATCTTCTGGGTGAGTCCAGGGGCAGCTGGGGATGGGGAAGGTCGGGGTCTCCGAGCGCGGGGCTGTCTCCCCCTCAGCCGTGCGGTGAGGGGAGGGCTCGGGCCCGGGCCGGCCGTGGCGCGAGGCCCGGCCCTGAGGGTGCTGCCGGGCCGGGCCGGGCCGTCTCGTCGCTGTCCGGTCCTCGCTCACGTACGGCAACAGCTGGGAGCCCCCGCGCCGCCTCGCCGGTTCAGTTTGTATTTAAAAGCTTTCTTTTTAACAGTCGCCTTGTGCCCCTTCGCGGGGCCCCGTGTTTCAGTGGTGGGCGCAGTCCCTTCCTTCCCAGTCCACCCCACCCCCCGCCCCCCAAAGTTCGGAGGTGGATGAAGCTGAATCTGTTGCCTCAGTAGCCTGTCAATAAAGGTTTTACGGAGCATTAGAGATCTTGAGGTAGAGACGCTTGTGTAATTGAATACAGCTTGAGTGGCATTATTGAGATTTTCAGGTCTCTGCCAGTTTAATTTTTGTAGAGCTGTTACGGCCATTTAGTTTTTGGCCCCCTAATTTAAGGACGTCTGTCCCAAATACTTAGCGGTAAGTATGGAGCGCTGTTTTCTTCCTTGTATTTTTAACACAAAATTAGGAGAGAGAAAGAGATAACTTAGGAGTCCAAAAACAAGTCTTATTTTTCACTTCTAGTAACCACAGTTGTATTAGTATTTATGCGTCGCTTAAACCTCCCACGACTAGTCATGCTGATGGTGAGAGAAAAGCTTATGCGGGTTGGTGGAATAGTAGATTGCTGTAAACGACCTTTCTCAGGATGGACATACAGGCTGTAGCTTGGCATTATATTCATTGTAATAACTGGCCTGTCAGAGCAACATAAATCTAACTAAATGGAATCAAATGAAAGAATATTCTGTAGACTTTAAGAACTCCTTTTCTGCATTTAACTACTGTGTTTCTCATCCTCTAATCCCAGCTCCAGGAACAGAAGATCTGTTGTCCCAGCTGTTCAAAGATTTCAGCTTTGAAAAAGTAACAGTGGTAACAAGATAGTAGAACAGAAAAATGTGGGTATATATAGCTACATCATTTAATGTTGAAATCTAATAAGTGTTACAGGATAGATAAATGTTGTCTAATTTTTTTACAAAGGAATGCCTCTCATGGGCGCCTAAAAATGAGTCATCGTCAGGGAAATGCATATCTGTGCAGGGTCACCAGGATTTCTGTATACAGCTGTTCAGAGAGATGGCCAGTAAATATGAGGCATATTTGACTAAGTAGTGCATATTAGGAGTCTGTAATTTTGGCTGAGGTGTATAGGCTCCATTCTTTATCTTTCAAGTATGAGGTAGTTAAATCAACCTTTTAGTACAGCCGTTTGTTTGGAATCTGGTTTGCTGGGTGTGGCTTTTTGTTACATGAATAGTTGCAAATGGCATTAAAAAAGCTTTTTAATAGCTGCTACATCATACTTAAAGTTTTTGACTGGGCTTGTTTGAGTTGCATTCTTAATGGCATCTTGAAGTAGATTTTTCTTTAGTGCTTTGCAGTTTTTCTTTATCTAGCACTTAGAATTTTTAATGACTTTTTTTGAGACAAACTTGACTTAATTTAAAATGGACAGATTGTATTTAGATAGCTTGTAGTTCATGTCAAATTAAAATGGCACTGATCTTATATTCTGTAAACCATCTCCAGCCTAAGAAGTCAACTTGTGCGGATAGCTTTTTGGCAGATAAGTTGCTTGTGCTGGAACAACCTTATGGCTCATCAGCTGCATGTAGAATGAGGCAGGCTTTCTCAAAGCAAGAATTACAAAAATCAATGTTTTTCCTCTCTTTAGCAAGCTATAGCCTAAAAATAGGAAATCTACATACTTTCATCAGAAGTAGTATATCTTCATTTTTAAATGGTAAAAGAGAAAGAAGAATTCTTGATCTAGCATGTTTCGTTTGTTGACTGAGCTGACTGTGTATGTTAACATTTGGTGCCCATCTTGTTGACAATGTAATTGCTTCTGTGCTGTTACAGAAATCTTTTGCTTGTCATTCCTCTTTAGTTCTAATTATCAAAATTGGATCATCCAGGTTTCCACTGAGACTTGACAATAGATAACTGCCTATAATTGGTCAAGTCACTATGAAACCTCATTTAATTGCATTTATAAACTTAATGTGTCTCTATAGGTATCATATATAAATGTTGCATATTATCATCATCTTCACAGTTGTCGGTAGTAATAGCAGGTTGCTTCTGCATAGTTTGCTATCGAAAGTTCTGCAAGAGTAGCTGATCAAAGTGAATTACAACACACACACACACACCCCGCCGTCGGTCTCAAATTTGTGCAAGGATGTGAATGTTCAGAGTGCTTTGGTAGCTGTCTTATGAATGCTAGATGTTCAGAAAATTATCACTTCTGCTGCTGAAGAAAAAGCAGAGATGTTTTTGTTATATTCTGTAGTCTAGCATCTAACTTCTTTTTTAAAAATTTCTTTCAAGCCTTCTGAAAAAGGCAGATCAGGCTTGCTGACAGGTCATAACCATACCCACTCATTATCTGTGACTGCTGACTTTAACAACCCAAACTTCACTCAGTTTGCCAGTGATTCTACAAGTTCGTCTCCTTTTGAAAAGTCTTGTGCTACTTACTAGATTTTCTAGTTGACACTACAAAACAGTCATCTTATTTCTGTATAGTCTCATGAAAACTTTTTTTTGCATCCTGTTAAATTCTTATATTAACTGTACATTCCTACATGTTAATAATTACTACGGGATTATTTTTTTTTTTTTTGAGAAAGTAGGCTGCAGAAACTATCTTCCTTTCACAGCAGGACAGGTGCTAGTTTAGCATACAGAAAACTGGATGGACTTTACACACCTTCCCAAGTTTTTGGTGTGGTACTTTGACAGTTTAGCTGAGTTGTATTTGCAGGGGTGTCCAACATCGAGTACATCTACTGTAGACACATATATTGCCTTAAAAACAAAGTACTGCAGGAAAAAAGCAGCATGAGTAGTAGTCATCAAGAGTAGCATGATAGAGATCTTGCGTGAAATGCTTATTTGAATTTTGGATAATTTGGCAAAGAGTGCATAAGCTCAAAGGTACTTTACAAAGAAATGCATTGATAAGAAGCATAAGTTAAAACTTGCCCTTCTTAGAAGGATCAGAGGAATACAGACCAGATGAATATGTTTCTTAGTGTTTTGCTGCTGTGAATTAGTTTTGGGGTGGATATGATAAATAGCAAAGGAAAAACAATCCTTTGCTTGACCTTTCTTGTCTTAAGTTTGCACAAGATCTATTTGGTCAACTAGTGACTTCATTTTCATTCAGATGATGCGAAGTCCTTTTCTTTAAGGAAAGGAAGTAATTGGAAGTAATTGTTAAGTGAAAGACAGTACATCTTAGAAATAAAAATAATGAAGCTTCTAGTACCTGTATTCTCAGAAATATTTTTGGTGGAGTGGAAATCCCAACGTTGACCAATCTGTCTGAAGATATAGGACGTGGCGTGGTTTTTTTTTCAGTGGGTACAGATTAGAATGACTGGTATGACAGGAAAACATTAAACTGTAGTCACAAAAAAATAGTTGTTGATAATCAGAAATATTTTTTGATATCTTGATGAAATGTTGAATTGATGACCAATTACAAATAAAAGATGATCATAAAGTATTTGAGGATAGCATGGTTTTTAGAAAAAACTTTTGTTAAAGTCTGCATTGATTTGAAAGAGGAAGAAATGAGTTTACCTGGAACAAATATCTGAAGACTGCTGTCAAATGTATTTTTGTGAACTCTTAATTTAAGGCTTCATTGGGTGACCTGCATAGTTCCATTGAAAGCAGTTTGGAGAAATGAGGTAAAGACAAAAATTCTAGGGAAATGTTTTCAGGCTTACGTTTAGGATGTAGGATAGAAGGAGAAAATATTTAGAGATGCTTATAGCCTTGCTTCAGAAAAGGGAGTCTGTCTGGTTTGTATTCTTGAAGAATATATGTACTTTGACAGCGTGCTCTGCTAAAACAGTACCTAATACCCTGTGCTTGCTTTGAGGGTTTTTTTTTTTGCCACCTCTGTGTCCTCCTTCTTGAGAAAAGGAATGAACTCTGCTTCTGCAATACTTTTATAACTCAGTAGTTGTGAACTAATTTGCTCTTGCAATTATTTAACTGACTTGAAATAATTGATTTTACAGTTCACTTGACTAAGCTTTTATAAAACATTCTTTGGAATGCTTGTTTAGAGAAATCTCAATGCTTCAGTTTTGTACAGCAAGAATGCTTTCTACAGTTCTGTGCTCACTGTACAACTTATGTATGCTCACCACAGTACAGTAGCCATAGTATTAGAAATTATGTAGTATTATCTTAGAGGAACTATCTGTGCTATCCTTAGAAGAAGCTGTAGCTATCTGTTTATGTAGTGTGGTTTGGGTTTCTGGTAGAAAAGAATAAAGAAAATGCAGCAACAGGAAAATTCATTGAAATTTAGCAGTAGAAGGAAAAGTAGCTCACTTCCTCTTACACATATGAATAAGCCAAATAATTTTTCTGTTTTACTGGGACTTTGAGAATTGTTTCTGGACTTTAAAAGCTGGGGTAGTGAAGAGACTTCTTGAGAGTTTTTTGGTGATCAAAGACTATAATTGGCAGATGATCCCAAAGGCTGCCTATCGGGGATTACTTGACTGAAGCCTTTTTTGCCCTGAAGGACAGTCACTTCTGCACGTGGAAGTTGAATGTTATGTGCTTCTGCTGCTATGGTAGTGAAGTGAGTGTATTTGCAGGATTGTGTAACGGTGTGGAATCCTGTGCGTTAAGGAAATTAGGATTTAAAACTTGAAGTGTCGTGCCCTCACTGAGTGATTTTCTTACAATATTTGGACATGAATTTTCAGGTAGCAAACATGGGCTAGGCCCTGATTCAGTAAGGCTTCGATTTGCCTTTAAGTAAGATGGTAGTATCACTTATGTTTCCTTACAGGATGAGTTTCAAGTCTTTGTCT